TGAGGCTTTGCCGGTGTTGGCGGGTGTGCTTCCGGTCGATCTCGAGGTGCAGAGACGTGCAGCCATGTACTATTCAAGACAACAAAACATGGAATGCGATTTTTTGGGCACACGGGATCGCGGTAAAATTACAAGATTGCTTCAACAGCAGCCCGATGTCTATAATGACCTCATAGACGAATGGCAACAACGCTGGGATGAATCATCCAAGGGACGCCATCTTTACCAATTCTTTCCATCTGTTCGAGAACGGTTGTCGAGGATATGGCTTGAGGTGGATCACTGTGTCGCTCAATTTCTTACGGGTCATGGTAACTTTAAGAGCAAGCTTTATTCATTTAAATTAGTCGAGTCACCATTGTGTCAATGCTCAACACCTAACTCTCACTATGAACAGTCTGCTCATCATATCCTCTGGGAATGTAGTCTTTGGTATAATGAACGTAATATAATGCTGAATAGCTTGCAGGTGACATCTGGGGCGGTATACTATGGGGATCTTGTGTCAACTAGGGTGAATTTCCGTGCGTTTAGGCGATTCTGCCATCCATATTATAGAAATCAAACATAGCTCACGTAGGACCCGTAATATTTGTGGCCGTGGTGCTTCCCTGATAAAAGGGTGTATGCCCATTTTACTTCATTTTGTCTCCCGCTTTGCTAAGGAGGGAAGTGGATTTACTGTATTTCCAACTCCTCCAATTTTCTTCTGATTAATTTCGTTGCGGGTTCCAAGACAGTTTAATTTCTTCCTGGGACTTCCCGAGTGTCATAACTCGGTGTGTTCGTGGGTCACTGCTGTGGATCCTGGTGTACAGGAGTTACAGTGGTGGGCGTGTGGGTGGGATTAGTCCCATTAAAAAAAAAAAAAAAACCGACTTCAAAAAGGAGGAGGTTGTCAATTCGGAAGTTATTTTTTTTATATACTTATATATTATACCGTCATAGATGGACGGATTTTCATAATTATTTTTTTGTTCGAAAAAGGTTTATTCCGAAATGGTCCCATTCAAATTTCATATGAACTGATAATGATTTTTGGAGACATTTGACATTTGACATGATTTTTCGCGGGCGAAGTCGCGGGTATCAGCTAGTTAATTATATCATTTACATAAATATAATTAATGAGAATAAAATAATTTCCCAGTCCAATATAATAACGCCTTTAGGATGCTGATGGGACTGCAGCGTTTCTGTAGTGCATCAGAGATGTTTACTGAACATCGCGTAGATTGCGTGTATGCTACTATGCGTAAAAGATGCACATCTCTGGTGCGCGGGTTGCGCGGCAGCGTCAACAGTATCCTGAACATGATCTCTAGTCGGCTGGACTGTAGTTACATCAATAGTTGCTGCGCAATTGCGTACGGAATGGCGCAACAATGACTGTTATTATACGTCTCATCTATACAAATAAATAAAATTTTATTTAGATTATTTGCACGATACCTATGCCTAAAATCCAGTTTACATTTTGGCTGTCTACATAAGGAATAAAGAATGCTATTTTTCCTCTCAGAAAACCCTTTAAAATTTTGCCTGGTCCCGGCATCGAACCCACTAAGGCAGCGCTTTTCAATTTCCACGCAAATGAAGTCGCTTGTACCAGATAGTATAATATGTATATGTATGTATGTTATGTGTTCGTACATAAAGGCGATTCTGCAATACATATTACAGAAATCAAATATAGCTCACTTAGGACCCATAATATTTTGTGGCCGTGGTGCGTCCCGGTTTAAACGAGTGCCTATTTTTACTTTATCTTATCTACCGCTTTGCTAAAGAGAGAAGTGGCTTTATTATATTGCCAACTTCTTCAATTTTCGTCTGATTATACGTCTATGAAGAATATTGTTACTAACAAACTGGAGAATTATGATTATTAAATGATAATTACTATTAATATAGATTAATCCACAAATACTTTAATATATTATCAATAGTCAGTAATGCATTTTTTTTCGCAACAAAACATCAACAACAAAATATCCCTGATATCATGATTGTCTATTGAGCAGCATATGTATATTTATCATGTATCATCATTCTTCCTACCTATCAGATACTGAGTATCGCTCTCATTAACTTTTCCTGTGCGTGTTTTAAATCACTATCTTATGATTGCATCTTTCAAGCATAGCTGACCGTGACAACGCTATTACTTCATCCTTAGAAAACTAGAACGGCGTAAACGAGTACAATAATTAAGTTTTTAGTTAAAACAGGCAACTCCCGCGTTAGAAATATATCCTGTGTCTCGGGCGACTTTACAAACATACATAAAACAGACACAAAGAACATCCAGACTCAGAAGAACAATTTGTGGATCACACAAAATGTTGTCCCATGCGGGTATCACAACACTCAGCCCATTAGAATGTTATGTCCTTGAACCTTTAGAGTTGAGAGGTTGGCTCGTTTCATTTACTAGGAACTAAATAGTTCAGAGACTAAAAAAGTACATAGCTTTTTTGTAAATATTTTCAAGTTATGTGGTTAATAACTTAATTGTAGTTAAAAATAACAGGAAAATATACAGTATATTTAAAAAAAGATAATGACATGTATCAACAAAAAACATTACTAAGTCGAAAAAATGAGCGAGTCAAAAGCTGCCATATTTTATATTTTAGAAAAATTTGTGTATTATTTATTTTACCTTGACGGGCCTTTTTTTTTTTTTTTTTTTTTTTTTTTTTCCCGTGCGGAAATCCCCTCGGATACCACCTGTCGGTGGCATGTCGGACTCGAACCGACTAAAACCGCACGCCTTCGCCGGGTACTAATAGCCGGGGAACCAGGTATACCCTAGAAAGGAAGGCCCTGGTGCCCCGACATACCTCGGGTCATCTACAGACGAGTAGACGACCCCCGCCCCGTGTGGGAACCCCATGTTCCCTGTGCTCCCTGGAAGCGAGCGCGCTTCGCAACGCGCTCGCCGCCACCCCGGCCTGCTTCTGCTAGGGTGACAGATGGCCTCACCTGTCACCCCCAGGCCTGCGCTTATGGAGGACGGAGGTCGTTCTGCGACCTCCGGCGCCTGAGTCGCCTGCGCTGCCTGGCCCGTGCCCGGGCCTGGCGGGCCGGGAGAGTTCTAAACCTCTCCCGGTCCCGCTCCGCCGTCTCCTTCGCGAGCATAACTTGCTCGCAGAAGGAGACGGCAGAGTTCCACGCACTCTCGCTCCGCACGATAGCCGCAATCAGGCTATCGAGCGAGAGAACTCCCACTCCGATGGCCGCCACGAGGTCTCGCCTCTGCTCAACCCACGCCGGGCACTCTGCCAGCGTGTGGAGAGCCGTGTCCACGGTCTGGCCATCGCAGTGGTGGCACTCAGGCGTTGGCTCCTTGCGGATCAGACACAGGTGATCTCCGAAACATCCCTTCCCAGTGATCACCTGCGTCAATCGGTATGAGAGGGTCCCGTGACGCCTCTCGAGCCAATCCTCCATAACGGGTCTTACCGCCGCAATGACGGCGTGCCCGTACCTTGACGGGCCTGTAAGATAAGTGGTAAGTGAAGGATCACTTACCAATACAATTTAATGGTAAGTGAAGGATCACTTACCACTTATCAGAGGTCGTTTGTTCATTTATTTATATTAACTAGCTGGTACCCGCGACTTCGTTAGCGTGGAATTCGAAAAACGCTGCCTTAGTGGGTTCGATGCCCATGTATTGCAAAATTTTAAAGGGTTTTAGTGAGAGGAAAAATTGCCTAAGTGATTCCTGAAAAAAAAAACACTGCCTTGGTGGGTTCGATTTCCAGGCCACGCAAAATTTTATAGGGTTTTTATAAAATAAAACTAAAAATTGCCTAAGTTACTTATATAGACAACTACCTGATAACAAAATATTATCAAAATCGGTCCAGCCGTTTAGAAGATTAACCGGAATAAACAGACAGACAGTCAAATATATTTTTAACTAGTTTTTAGGCATAGGTATCGTTCAAATAACCGTGTCTAATATTAACTGATTCGTAGTTTAGGTTGTGGAAGTAAGAATCTCCCGTCCGTGCAAGGGACAGCCTACTTTTGCTAGTATTGTCTATTCATCTCTGACCAATATTTAATGTGACGCTATATGACTGATATGGGCCATCCAGAAAGTGGACAGAAATTGCTTTGATTTCATGTCCATAAGGATTTGGAAAGAGTTGTTCTTTCCCTGCCCTGGTAGGGTCATACTCAAATTAATTGTAAGTAACGGACAAGAAACTGAGAGGAGAGTCACATAGTCATAACAGAAAATATAACGGAGAGGAACTATAAGGGTAGGTTTAGACAGGAATACAATTTCTAAAAAACTAGAATTTTATTCCCTTGTTTTTTTCCTAATAGCACCAGAAGCTGTGCAACGCTTTTTTATTTTTCATTATTTTCTACATATTGTAATATTACATTGCAGGCTACCCATTTTTTTTTTTTGTTGTTGGCGATGTTCAAAGACACCGCCAACACCACTTCGCCTCGAGAAACTGCTTTCTCCGCCAATCGCATACTACCCTAATTTAAATTTAACAATACCGCCTATTGTTATAGCGAAATGTACCTATACAAATAATACTGCAGTGCTGTGCAATAAAGAGATAAATAAATATGTCTTTTCTTAACAGTCAAACAATCTCTATGTCAAATTTCACCAAAATCGGTTCAGTGGCTAAGCCATTAAAGCGTAACAGACAGAGTTACGTTCGCTTTATATTATTAGTAGGGATTCGTAAAAAGCGTTTAAATTAAATTGTGTGTCGATGCAAATTAGTTTCTAATGTTTCTTACCTGTTGCACATTAACTTTATTTGATATTTGCGTGTAGCTAAATTTACCTGCTACGTATCCTATATCAGAATTTCTAAAGTTAAAAATTAACGGACAAATTGACGCAATAGATCAAAAGCCTTTAGAGGCTCAGCAAAGGTTGGAGTAGATCAACCTGTGGTTTTTAAAGTTCGAGTTGCAGTTCCTTGAGGTAATACCCAAACGGTTTTTACAACATGTTAAAAAACGGTAACTAAAACACGTTTTAGTTTATCTTAAAGCATTCTACAAAGACATACTTAAATAGATATTCCTACAACATGGTTCATAAGATGTAATAACCCATACTTCCATACTTTTATCATGAATGTGAAAGTGTGTTTGTTTGTTTGTTACGCTTTCACGCCTAAACCACTGAACCGATTTAAAAATTCTATCACCAATGAAAAGCTACATTATCAACGAGTAACATTTACCCCTTTTTAACACGATAACCGACATACACACGGTATGGAGACACGGGAAAAAAGCTAGTATTGACATAATTGTGAGCGAAGTCGCAGGCAATAGCGGGCAATAGATTTATCATAATCAGTCGCAATCGCTTAGATAGATAGCACCGGTTGAAACGCGCCTTTTTCGACTCTCTTTCCCCAAAAGTGTGGTCCGAAACTCCTAGAAAGTAGCGTTTGTGCACCACCCGATCCCTAAATAAGGTGACAGCTCGCACTCGACCAACTACAGGCCTATAGCCATTACTTCCTTGTTCTCCAAGATCACGGAATCCATAATCAACTCTATTACTAGCTCTTCCGGTGCTTAGAAAATCACCAGCTACTCAATGACCAACAACAAGTAAGCTGGTCATCTCCTCGTATATAACTCACCGGTGAGCACAGGCAATCGAGACCAAGGGAGGGGCTTGTGCAATTTGCTCGGATATATCAGGTCTGGCAAAAAACGCTTCTCTCGAAAGTCCAAAGACTTGATACCGCTCTCGATTGTTCATGAACCATTTAATCCTATGGCGCAACAGTATGTATGACGACGAGTATGACGAGATTGCTTAGTAAATACAGGAAACAAGCGACCCAACCCGGCTTCGTATTCTTCATTCGGCACTTCGGCAACAGATAAGTCAAAAATTTACAATTGAATAAAATGTGGCTTTGTTAATGGGAAGAATTTTCTATTTTTTTTAATGTCTGGTTTAACCTATGCGTAGCGGAAAAGCAATATTTATGTGATAATGGTTGCCTTGCAGACTAAGAGTGGTGAAGCTGTTTAATTTGATAATAGGAAAAACCCGGGCTGTTTGGAATTTCCAAAGACCGATTACATTCCCATGGAGGGTTGAAAAAAAAACATTTGACAATGAAGTCCGTAAAAGAGGATGTTGAGCGATCAAGGAGAATGGAAAAAGAAAAATCATTACACCAACCCCATATAACTTTGAGTAAAGGGTAGGAAGATGATGATGATGAGGGCGATACGAGCGGACCAGTCACCTCAAGAGTCACATGTGCGTTGCCACGTCGGAAGCAATAAAACCAGATCAAATAAATGATACCTGAAAATCTCGGGCACTAAGAATGCTGAACAGATAAATTGTGTTTAGTTCAGCTCTTGAAGGAAGTCCTTCAGAATCTGACTAAGATAGTAATAAAGTATTACTAAGACAAAGACCGATTCAACTTTTGCCCACAATACGGTTAAATCACATTATAGTCATATTTGGATGTTTAATACCATACCATACCATACCATACCATACCATACTACAAAAAATACTTTACGACATTTGTGACATCGAGAGTAGATTGGAACAGATTTTTTATTATGAAAATTAACCTTTTAAGGTTTAAGGTTAATTTTCATAATAATGAAATGTATGAAAGACCTAGGTATTTACTATAGTTTCTTAACAACTTTCACTTTTCAGGTCTTGGTCGAACAGGGGTGTTGATAGCCTGTTACCTGGTGTACTCTATGCGGGTGAGGGCTAACGATGCCATCCGCCTGGTGAGGAAGAAGAGACCTAAGTCTGTACAGACGTCAGGCCAAATCCTTTGTGTTCAGCAATTTGAACACTATCTACTACCACAGACGGTTGTCTTTAGTTCTAAGTAAGTCAAGCCAGAATCCAGTTTCTTTTTTTATGGTAGAATATAGGGTAAACGAGCAAACAGATCACCTAATAGTAATTAACTACCACTGCTCATGGACCCCTGCAGCATAAGAGACACATGTACGTTCCCGCCCTTTGGAGCGCCATTAAATAACCTCCATCTAGCCATCTTAATAGGAAGGATACACTACATAGGTGACGTTACTGATATGACATACCGGAGGCGAAGTCCCAATTAATCCTAACTGGCAAAGTAAGGTGTATTTCTTTATAGTAACTAAAAAAGTGTATAGTTAAACAGATATTCAGTTATATTATAACGACGTGTAATGCCAAAAATGAGACTTCAATTGGATGATATTTGGACTTTTGTTGAAGCCACCACTCTGCATTCTCTATCGCATATATCAGGAAGAGTGCTTCGAGGAATTGTTCGGACTAATACCAGTCGCAACTTTCCGCCAGCGGTCCTGACGGCAAAATTTTCATCCTGATCACCTGGATAGTTGGCGCTTCACTACTGTGCGCTTTTCGAGACATTCTTTGCCCCGCATAACCAATCTGTGGAACGGGTTATCGTCTGCGGTATTTCCGGACCGAGCCGACCTACAAACCTTTAAGAAAAGAGCGTATTCCTTCCTAAAAGGCCAGCAACGCGTTTGTGACTCCTGAGTTACAGACGTTCATGGGCGGCGATGGCCACTTTACATCAGGTGACCCGTCTGCTCGTCTGCCCCCTCTAAAATAATTTAGAAAAAACTGATTACCATCGGTCAGTTTACTTCCTTGGTAATTTAATTTTTAAAACAAATGTCAAGAAAACCTATATGTTGTACAGGGAAACCCTCAATTTAACCAAAGATAAGATGACATCAGAATTCACTTTAAAACAATACCTGTATCGCCAGCGAGCAACTCTTCACGGTCTTGAAGAAAGAGCTTTTAGAGAACTGCCTAAGGTATGTTTTCCTGTCCTTGCTTTTTGAAGTAAAACTTATTTACGCACGCTTGACTTGGGGAGTAAGCTGGTGAATGCGTTACCAGAGCGCGTTACGATAAGTGTGATTGGGCGAGGCAAACGGAAGTTGAGAGGGAGATATAAGTCAGTGGAGATAGAAAGAAAGAGGGTTACGTTTCGTAAATTACTGTAAGGTAATAGAGAACTTCTTATAAAGAAGGACTACAATTAGCAGATTCTTTATAAACTTTCTGTTACTGCATAATCGCATCTTTTTAAAGTTCCGTACCTAAAGGGTAAAACGGCACCCTATTAGTAATATTCCGCTGTCCATCCATCCGTCTCTCTGTCTGTCTGTCCGTCTGTCACCAGCAGATTAGTAGTAGATAAATCCAAATATATTTTCCAGATAGTCTACTGCCTCTGTGAACGACTCCTCAAACTCTGCGGTTGCCATCAAAGCGCTGGGATGGACTTCCGCGTGAAAAACAAGCCGTTTTACAAAAGCTTCATGGTGTACCGAATTCGGAAGAGCAAGCCTCCTGACCCCACAACTCCCGAAGAAGTCGTCAATGAACTTGGTATTTAATCGACAAATTTCGATTTGTGAATGAAAGCTTTGCCTATTGCTTCGAATATTCAGAACTGAGTAGCTACAACAACTAAGGAATTTTACAATTTTTTTCTTAAAGATAACGGAACCGCATTGCCAATGGTGGAATGGCGTGACCCAGTAGAGGAAGACATCGAAAGAAACTTGGAGACAGTGACAAGGATCACAGGCACCTCATCCAATGGTAGTATACCAGCTGTTCAAATACATGAGGTATGTCTTTGAACTTCTAGTGACCCTTAAAAATTGAATATAGGAAAAAAGGTGTATCCCTTATATATATATTTATGGACTGATTCTGAGCACAAGATTTCAGTACACGCAAATTTCTATTTAATGGGATCACCACCTGGGGAATCGTAGTCCATTGTCAGGTCAATTTCTAAAAGAAGCTGTCAATCCTTCAGAAATTAACACTAAACTGACCTACTTGACAAATAATTTAATTTTAGCTATTTTTAACTAAAACATTTAGGGCAGACACATGTTACATTTAAGTAGCAGCAACGAGTTTTCTTTATCTTATACTCGAGGACAATACCATAAACGTGACAAAAATATGTATCAAGTTACAGAATGTAAATTTACGTACCATTAATTCGATTTTATAGTAATCTGCAATGATCTCAACGAGAATGGCAGTTTAACCCTAAATTAGTATTCCAGTGGGTAGAATGAGCAGGTCATCTAAGACAAGAATTTCAATATGACTTCACAACAGTGTTGCAATTGAGTACTGGTCCTCAGTATCTGACTCGGTGTAACAGTCACTACAAAAGATTATTTTTAACTTATCAAAAGTATTGTTAACACGCTTTTATTAGCTTGGTATTTACCTATGTATGTAGGCATATATGTAACGGAATCTTCGAACGTGATTTTGACCCACTTCAAAACGTCGAATTAAATTGAACACTTATTAAGGACCGATAATAATAAAATAATTTGATAAGTTTGGCCGATTATCCTGATCAGGATCTTCAGGATTAACGGCTTTTTCCATACCTATTAAGGTAATACCATATTAAGGTAGTGTCGTTTGTCTACGCGTAGACAGAGATGTATTACACATCCGATTTTGCAGACTACAATTAGGTCCCCTTACGCAATAGTAACCGTGCACTTAAGAAATTAGATGGGAATGGAGTATATAGAAGGTCAGCAGATAATGTGGATAGATGATGACATGAAAGTGATTATGTGAATGAATCGGAGAGTGTGAGCAATCCGAGGCCGCTACCACAAGTGTATCGTAAATTGGAACGGAGTTCCTTATGGGACGATGTGGTGAGAGGCATTTCGCGAGTAAAAGCGTACGTTACGAAGAAGCGTTAGTCGCTATCCCTCTCGCTCTGCATTCACCGCCTGCAGAGATAGAGAGAGAGAAACGAAGATTACGATTATACGATTTTTGGAGACTTTCATGAAGAATAAATAGAGACCAGTTTATCCAACCATCCAACTCTAGGCCGACTACAATGTAGTTACAGTGCGGTAGCTTTATATTCTCGAAGCAACCCTTAGGTACACCAATATCCTTCCACCTCCAGAACCCAATTCAATCAAAAACGAAAATTCAATACACCTCCTGTTCGTCACAAAACTTCCTTTTTCGAACATTAATCCTATACCTATAGTAATATTCACAAAGAGTTAAACATCGTACAATTGACTGCACGGACTTGACTGCACGGATGGCGTAGTGGTTTAAGCGGTCGCCACGCCGCTTCCTACTACGCCGAGTGTTGTGGGTTCAAACCCCACATGGGACGACACTTTGTGTGATCCACAAATTGTTGTTCTGAGTCTGGGTGTTCTTTGTGTCCGTTTCATGTATGTTTGTAAACTCCCCCGCGACACAGGATTTATTCCTAATGCGGGCGTTGTCTTTTAAAAAACAAAAAGAAAAAAAAAGAAAAATATTAAATAGATTTAAAAATTAGTTATTACCTTCAGGCCCCTCTTTCCCACTGGGAACGTGCCCAGGGCCCCTCGATTGATAGAGGCCCCCTGCCTACCTAATACGATAATCGAATATTTATTTCCATATTTATTAAAAAAACAGCTAAAATGTCTGATTATAATACATTTTGTGACTATTCTAACAGAATAGTAATCAGTCAAGTTCGTAGGGGCCCCATTAGTGATAGGCTAAAGACGGCCTTAAGATTAATTTGATACTAAATCACTTCAATAGTTCGTAAAGTGACTATACATTCATACACACGCACTAATGTAATCAGACAGACACACATATTCTATCACCGCATCTCCCACACACTTAACTCATGCCACATATTTTACATACGGTCATCATCCGATCAACACAGTATCTTGATCGTCGCCATGCCCAATGAAGATCATTATTGTAATCAATTAGAGCCGAACCCTGTCTCTTCCGAAACAGTCGTAGCCTAGTTAAAGAGAAAAGGTTTAAACTTTTGAATGTACGAGTACAATAATTTTATGTAACTATAGAACTTTTTGGCGTATTACTGTAAATACTAATTAGGTCCGTGATTAAAACGTATAATTTGTATGTAGAATTACTTCTTTCACTGAGACTTCTGAAGAATTGTCACAACTGATTTATGATTAAATGCACTTACTAGAAATAGCCCTCTAGTGCAAGGATTACTTTAGGCTTAAGTTTAAAATTACTTGCCCTGACTTAGTGATTCATCAACGCAGAGCCTTAACCGCTTGGACTACAACCTTGAAATTTTGGTAGCTGATGTGTTTTATGTTGTAAGCACCTACTGAGAAAGAATTTTTGACAATTTTACCCTAAGCGGATAAAATAAGGTATAAACGGTTGTATAGAAATTCGTCATTTTCGAAGTTGGAAACACGAAATAAGAAGTAATAATGCGAGCGAAGCCGCGGGCAGCAGCTGGTTTGTTCATATTTGTTCCTACTAACCTAACCTATGGCGAAACTAACTTTACTTTCAAATCTGCACATGCAACGCCACTCATGACTTAGACCTGCTCAATATAAATTTTCAGGCGTTCACCGTAGACCATGGCTGTCTTCCAGGTGATAGGATGAAGTACCTTAAAGATTTACGTAACGATATTAACCAAAGGACGGAAGCCTTCGAGAAAATTAATAAAGAGGTAGGTGAGAGGGTAAAAGGCAATTTAGAGTTTGATCTCTGTGTATATCAATTGCTAGTCACAATGACTTTAATATCAGACCAGCGTTTCTCCACAGTTTTAGGTTACAACTTTACATGACCACTGATCTACATTAACTTTTCATTTGATAGTCTTAATCTTACTTAGACTATCAAATGGAAAGAGTTTTTGAAAAACTAACCATTCAGTTTTACGAGAGAACCCGCACGGCATTGTATTGATAATATAACCAATAATACATAATAACTTAAATTTGAAAATAACGTTCTTATATGATCAGCAAATATATTAAACCCTGAATTGAAAAATTTGAAAGTCAATTTAAATGTGCTTGGTGCAGAAGAAACTTTCTTACAACTCGACCAATTTAAGTGGTCAAAAGCTCACATGAAAGAGTTTGGTCCAGCATCTTAGACCATAAAGAACCTATACGACTATCAGACCTAAGAAACAATATCCAGATATCTGAATAACTATTTTTTTTCTAATCCCACAACAGTACGGGCATGAGCCCATGCTAACGCGTTTTAAACCGCTTGATGTTCCAGATGGATCCAGTGATCTTGACAGGTCTACTGTTCGAGTGGTTGGAATGTCTCAAGAAACCAGTTCTGGACATTGAAGACCTGTCAATCATAGTGGGCCGAGCTCATAACGTCGAATCATGTATACTGGCATTAACAATGGTAAGAGGTGCTTTTAATACTATAAAAAAGATGAGCCGTCGCTGGATGTCTGGCAGACGTGAAACATCGAAATTACTTTGTAAAAATAATGAGTATAAAAGGATAGCTTAGTAGAAGAAAGTAAATAATAAATATAGCACATTTAAAAATAAAAAATTAAGCTTTTTTTGATGATAATGATGCGTCGCCACACCGCATTATACGTTACATATACTATCACATAGCGTGGCGATGCATGCCGTGGCAACGTGACATCACGCCAGCAGCCGGTCTGACCTAACCCTCCCCATTAGATGTTTCACATCAACAGCCACAGAAAACCAGTGTTGAGAAAAAAATTCGTTAGCTGTTCGCCGAGCGAGTAAGGTTATCGTAGACCCAACCCCTCTTCCCTCTTTAATACTGGGAAGGAGGAAGGAGACCGTCACAGATTTACAATGCACTTGTCTCTTATAATGCAGGTGTCCATGAGTACCAGTACTCTGCTTGAATGCTCCCTATGCCATAAACAAACTACACGAAGAGTCTGGTGGAATAGTGGTTAGTCATCCTGACTGCTAAACCTAAGATCTTGGGTTCGATTCCCAGCCAGGATATAAACTATGCGATTTACATAGTCATAGTACTGAACTATGACTATGTAAATCGCATAGTTTATATCCTATCCATAGTCTGGGTGTACGAGTAAAGTATCTTTAATATGTTTGAATGTAGAAATATATATAAGTATGTTAATCAGCAGTCTGGTTACTAGAGCATAGGCTCTGCCTAGTTTAGGATCAGACGGTGTAAGATGTTTTACTTTATTATTAGATATTCTTATTTCATCCTATTTCCTTCCAGGAAGACTTAATACTCCTGGAGTACCTACTTCACTTCGTGACCCGTCTCCGTCCGCTGGCAGCTCATAAAAAAGTCGACATATTAAAACGCCTCTTGGCTTCTTTAACCCACCAAACTGTCATGGTCAGTGGCCGATGTCTTCCAACACGCAAAGAGTTTCACAGGCTCCGAGATGGGACGTGCAGCCAGGTGATCAATTTCATGCTGAGAATGATAGTAGAGTTGCAAAGAGATATCATAAAACCTAGTAAGTATGATGTGGACGTTGTCGTGCCTAGAAGGTTGAGAATAAAAGCGTGGAAATAGTGTCTTCTTTTATTTAATCCCTATTTAATATTCGTTAATAAATGGATGTCTCTTATCACGGCATAATTAATAGAGATGCCACGAATAGTGATTTGGCCGAATAACGAATATTCGGCGAGTCTCTTGGCCGAAGCGCCGAATTTTCGGCAACACTTAGTGCCTTTCGCGGGTTTAAACCTGAATCAGTAAAATTGCCAGCAAACGCAAAACCTAAGAGAATTTGCTAAGATTTATTTATCATGTCCTGGAAGCAGTATATACAGTGAGCGGCTATTTTCCGAAACAGGTATAATTTATTAGGAAAAGCGCTATAGTTTCCTATCAACAAATGGTGAAAAAGGTTTTAGTATTAATATGATAAGTTATTCGTCAAATAAAAATCTTTGTAAGTGATATTATGCATTATTTTTTCCGTGATTTTCTATTCGGTGTTTGGACGAATATTCGTGACATCTCTAATTAACCATCGGAGAGCCATATACTCTGGTACAAGTGGGCCGGCTCCATCGGAGTTGTACCAGGGCTCCAAGCCGGTGTTAAGCCATTCTTTCGCTGCTTTTCACCGAGTGAATGTGGTGTGGTGTATGTAGACATTTAAGATATGCAATTCATTATTTTAAATCTATCTCGTAAGGTTTAGCCAACGTTTGAAATGTAAGACCACAAAGACGTGTTTTTTACGACATAACACTTCAAATCTTTGAAATTTTCGAATTTTCTCTACTATAATATTTAATATTAATAACTGTTTATTTTTCTTTTGTAATATATTTAAAAATGTAATCTATATGTATATATAATGTAATAAAGAGAATAATAATATATTTATTCATACACACCGAATATTTTTAACTTTATTAATTTGGAAATTAATTAAGTTAGAAATATTTGGACATAGATATAATTTTTTCCCCATGGGTTTTGGGACGGGGTATTTATAAAACCGACAAAAGTCGAGATGTTGAAACAAACACTTTTAAATATAATAATAATAGGTCTTTACCTATGAAATTGCCGTTTTGTATGCAATAAGTAAAAGTACTTATTTTTTCAAACTTTTTTATTTCTGTTACTCGTAGTAATCACCCATGCAGTCGACGCATCTTTGCCAACGCATTGGCAGTTTATTGATGTCATTCTTGTAAAAATCTGCTGGACGGGAGGCAACAAACTCTTCAAAGGCATTTTGTACTGCCTCTCGGGAATTGAATTTTTTACCATCTAAATAGTAGTAGTGTTTTAAATATCGTATCTCTCATTACAAACGCTTTGTAAAAAAAAGTTGCACCGACTTTAAACAATACTAATAATTAAATAATAATTACAAATCTAATTGAAAAACTAAAATAAGTACTCAATATAACACGTAACATTATAAAAGCAATCAATACCTTCTAGTCTGTTTGAAGTCGCTGCCAAACCAAACAGGTACTTGATAGGCTAGGAATAGGTGGCGCTCGCGTAATTTTAAATTATATTTTATTCTATCTATTATTAAATAGTAATCATCTCTTCTTTTGAAATTAAATATCAACATAGTAAAATAATAATACTTATCTCTGATTGATATTTATTAAATTGTGAATTTCATTAGTCTCAGTTTCTTACGAAATAAAAAATAGAAAATAAATTTGAAAAAAAGCGTTAGGTGCCTCTTGTCAATAGTAAAAAGCACCCCACGCTTTGTTTCAAATTTATTATCTATTTTTTAGTTCGGCTTTCTATAGAAAGCGTTTTTTTTTTACAGTTAATATCGATACTAGGGGCATTGGGTAAAATATCAAAGCACATTCTAACCAAAGCCTGTACTATTATTTATAACTCTTTAGGTAGGTCACATCTTGAATATTTAATTGAGATACGGGGATCAGCAGCTGAACTAATTTGAAAATACTACAAAGAATACAAAAAAAACCTAACTCCAACTAAGCTACTATTTGAAAAAATTAAATTACTGAACCTCAGACAACTTTCTATTATACTTGCATTGTAGTTAAAAAGATTACTAACAATTCCATTCAAACTGAAATTCAATGAATAAAAAAATATTTAAGAAATATAAATAAAATACAACTAACGAAAGTACGAACTAACTACGAAAAAAAAAACAATACTACGAGTATATGAGGGAGCACAGCTGTCGAAAGAACTGACACTGAAGAGACTGCCTAAAGAATTATAGTGGTTGTGACAGTATAAATGCATTTAAAAGCGGTCTCAGGAAATATTTACGTACATTGTAACTTCCAATACTCTAAGAGCTGAACATTGTATTAGTCATAAGATAATCACTATGTATCTCATTATAAAGGTATAGCTCATTAGACCTACCCGACACCAGACCAGCACCACCTCGCGAGACCTCGTCTCGGCGGTTAGTATTCTTTGTACTATGGGTAAACGCTCACTACACTAATAACTAACTGTAAGGTCTTATAGGAAAAAACTCTTTAAACCCAAGTATATATAAATAAATAAACGAACGAACAGAAAGAAAAACAAATAAACGAACAAAACTCAAATTCGGAGAATGTTCGCTTTTTGCTGTCACTCTTCTTGTTGTTTATTTGTGGGAAACTCATACTTCCGCACAACAAAAAAACCAAATTTATGGCTTATGAGTTAGTACTACCACCCACCCATGAACACCTGCAACTCTAAGAGAAAAGAATACTAACCGCCGAGACGAGGTCTCGCGAGGTGGTGCTGGTCTGGTGTCGGGTCTAATGAGCTACCATTATAATGAGATACATAGTGATTATCTTATGACTAATACAATGTTCAGCTCAGCGTATTGGTAGTTACAATGTGCATACATAATTCCTGAGTCCGCTTTTAAATGCATTTATACTGTCACAACTATAATTCTTTCGGCAGTCTCTTCTGTGTCAGTTCTTTCTACAGCTGTGCTCCCTCATATAGTATTGTTTTTTTTTCCGTAGTTAGTTTGTACTTTCGTTAGTTGTATTTTATTTATATTTCTTAAATATTTTTTTATTTATTGAATTTCAGTTTGAATGGAATTGTTAGTAATCTTTTTAACTAGAATGCAAGTATAGGGTTTTCCAATAAGAGGTGTTATTTTAGTATTCAAAGAAAAATGCAATTTTGAAGATAAATAATCGGCTTTTTATTTTACAATAAAGAGTATGCCGTTAATAATGGAAGATAACATCAGCCAAATGGCTACCACGACCACGGATGCTTTCAGGACCATATCCTTTTAATGAAATTTTGCATAACCAAATCGCAAAGTGGCTGCCC